GCGACGTCATTTTATTTCAAGATTCAAACTTTTCCATCCGGTGTTCTTCACGCATGAATTAGGAGAGTGGGTAATTAGATTTAATCCTCATTACTTCGAATTTGCCTGTTTTTGCTTATGATGTGTTTCAAGGTGAAGGTGGTTTGCTTGTTGAATGGAGGAATGTTTGATTTTTGTTGCTCGTCATGATGTGTTAGGGATTAGTTCATGCTTATCTTGAGTAAAGGGCACGACTTGGATTTAAGCGTAGTCATTAGTTAGAAAGCTCGATTTAATCACCTTGGATCACATGGCTACTATGATGTTGCTTGGTTTGTCGCGTCTATTCGAGTGATAGAGACTCCGGTTGACCTAAAGTTTTCATCTTGCATAATTTCTTTCATTTGCTCTAGATTGTTAGTTTAATTTCATGTGAAATCAATCCCCATCAAGCGAGTAGAATGTGTAGGACCTTGTTTTCAGTTATGTGATTTTGACGACTAGGTAGTGAACGAAGCTCCGAAGAGCCTTCCTTTGAGAATGACCCGAGTCGGGTACCTCGGTTACCACATGCCCAAAAATACTACAATCACTTATATATATATATATACCAATTTCATGATTTGTTATTAGATGTGCTGTTTATTCAGTGCTGGTTTATGGGTAGCACCGTGGTTATATATTTGTGCTAACTCCCCCACAACCAAACTTTCCCCAGGTAATGCTGAGCGGCGTGGAGCGTGAGGAATGGTGGTGGTTGATCGTGGTTCTGTCAATGTATGCAGAATAAGTTCAAGAATAAAGTTTTATGTACAGAGCTTGAACATGTTGTTAAAACAATGTTTTAATTCCGCTGTGTTTTTCAGAAAATATAATTATGAATTTATGCATGTGTAGTAACTCAAATATTTACTATAAAGATGACATGCAGGAGTTTTTATACCTTATGGTATAATAAAGCAGTTTTCAGACATGGTATCATCCCGAGGTAAAGATAAGTATTTTAGAATAAGGAAAATCTTTCAAAAATAAAACAAAATTTTAATTATGATTTTTAAATATAATTTGTAAAGTAAAGCGGGGTGTTACAAAATGGTATCAGAGCAAAAGTTAAGGCTATGTATACTAAAAGTCTAAGTTTCAGAAAGATAATTTCAGAAAGATATGATCAACCCCACGCTCACGCCTACGCTGATTCCAAGGTAAGTGCTTAAGTTCAGTTTTTCAGGAAATTCATGATCAGATATCATGATAAGATATGTGGCTTAGTATATCCTCCTTTCAGAAATCAGAACTTTAGACATAACTCTAGTGGAGATAAGATGAGTTTAGTTACTTATCAAGAAATTAGTAAAGAATGATTCATCAGATATGCTACTCAAATTCTTCTCTAATCAAGTTTATGATGGTCAGTCAGATGGCCAGAAGAGCTCAGAATGCTGCAGCTGTGCCAGCTCAGAACCCGGTGAATGTTCTTGCTCAGTTTCATGGGTTACAGCCAGCCACGTTCAATGGACAAGGAGATCCCAGAATAGTAGAAGAATGGATTCGTAGCCTTGAACAATTATTCGAGGCTATGAACTGCACTGAACAGGAGAGGATCCAGTGTGCCCAGTTACAGATGATTGGGGACGCTGGGTTATGGTGGTTCTCATACTGGCAGATAAGGACAGTGGAAGAAAAACAAGCTTTAACTTGGTTTGGTTTTAAGCAGATAGTGAAAGAAAAGTACTATCCTTCTTACTATAGAGCTCAGATGGAACGGGAGTTCCTAGACATGGAGCAAGAAGAAAGAAGTGTCGATGAATATGAGCGAGAATTTACTCGCTTAGCATTCTTCGTACCATATCTAGTGGATACGGATGAAAAAAGAGCTAGAAGGTTCAGGGACGGATTGAGAGATGTTATCCGGAACCATCTTGCAGGACATGGAGAGTTGTCCTATGTTGAGACTGTTTCAAGAGCTCAACAAATTGATGCCAGCATAAAGCAAAAGTCCCAACGAGTTCCTAAGACAACTGTTAATCCACCAGCTCAGCCACTAGTACAGCAGATGCCTAATCAACAGGCAAATGCTAAAAACAAGAGAAAATGGAAGGCTCATCAGGATGAAAGGAGAAACCTCCCTAGAGGCCAAGGGCAAGCAGGTCAACAACCACAACAGGTGCCGAATTGCGGTACTTGTGGAAAACCACATAGAGGAGAATGTTTAGCTGGTCGTGATATTTGTTACAATTGTCGAAAGCCAAACCACAATGCACGTAACTGTCCAGATAGAAGGCAAAATCAACAGGGCCAACAGCAGCAGACTCAAAATATTCATCCGCAGGCAAGGCAGGCAAATGTGTATGCTCTTAATCAAGCAGAAGTGGAAGAACACTCAGGTACTATGTCTGGGATATTAATATTGAATAATGTGCCAGTTTTTGCATTATTTGATACTGGAGCAACTCATTCATTTGTCTTGGATAAATGTTTAGAAGCATTAACTAAAGGAGTGAGTACAATTGATCCTCTTGAGATCAGTTTAGCCTCAGGAAAGAAAATTGTTACGAACTCAATAGTAAAGAATCTTAACCTAAGTATTGGAGGAAAAATTCTGGAAGCCAATGCTTCTGTAATTGAGATGAGGGATTTTGACCTAATACTTGGTATGGATTAGTTGGATAGATATCAAGCAGATATTCGATGTCGTGATAGAGAAGTGAACCTCAAATTAGATGAGGATAATCACATCACGTTCTTTGGAGCCAAGTCAAGGACGTTACCACGTGTAATATCTATGGCGAATGCAACCAAGTCTTTGCGAAAGAAAGATTGCCAGGGTTATCTGGTGAGCTTAGTTGAAGAAAATTTGGATAAGAAGAAACCCGAAAGTAACCCTGTAATAAGGGAATTTTTGGATGTTTTTCCAAAACAATTACCGGGAGTACCACCAGACAGACAGGTGGAATTTACCATAGATCTGGTTTCTGGAGCAGCACCAGTATCTAGGGCACCATACAGAATGGCGCCAAAGGAGTTGCAAGAGTTAAAAGTGCAAATTCAAGAGTTGCTGAAATTGGGTTTCATTCAACCCAGCGTTTCACCTTGGGGAGAACCTGTCTTATTTGTCAAGAAGAAGGATGGGTCAATGCGTATGTGCATTGATTACCGGGAGTTGAACCGGTTAACAGTAAAGAATAAGTATCCGCTTCCTAGGATAGACGATTTATTTGATCAATTAAGAGGTACCAGAGTATTTTCTAAGATAGATTTACATTCTGGTTACCATCAGTTGAAAATAAAGAAGACTGACGCAGCTAAGACTGCGTTCAGGACGAGATATGGTCACTATGAGTTTTTAGTGATGCTGTTCGGAGTAAGTAATGCACCAGCAGTGTTCATGGATCTCATGAATCGGGTATTTCAACCATATTTAGATCAGTTTGTTATCGTTTTTATTGATGATATATTGGTCTTTTCTAAGAGTGAGGAACAACATGAAGAGCATTTACGTGTTGTTCTGGAGACACTTAGAAAAGAGAAGCTATATGCTAAATTCTCTAAGTGTGAATTTTGGTTAAAGAAGGTGGTGTTTCTTGGCCATATTGTCATAGCTGAAGGTATAGAAGTTGATCCAGGAAAGATCACAGCTGTGAGATATTGGTCAAGACCAAAGAATGCTAGTGAGATAAGAAGTTTTCTTGGACTAGCTGGATATTATAGAAGATTCATCGAAGGGTTTTCTAAAATAGCCTTACCTTTGACACAGTTGACAAAGAAATCAGTGAAGTTTGAATGGAGTGATAAATGTGAAGCTAGTTTCGAAGAACTAAAGAAGAAGCTGACAACAGCACCAGTACTAACGATACCAGATCCTACTCGTGATTTCACTATTTACAGTGATGCCTCGAAACAGGGTTTGGGATGTGTGCTGATGCAAGATGGAAAAGTTGTGGCATATGCTTCGCGACAACTGAAGCCACATGAGCAGAATTATCCAACTCATGATTTAGAGTTGACAGCTGTAGTGCATGCTCTAAACATATGGAGACATTACTTGTATGGAGGTAAATGTGAGATCTTTACGGATCACAAGAGTCTGCAATATATATTTACTCAGAAGGAGCTCAATATGAGGCAAAGAAGATGGTTGGAATTAGTGAAGGATTATGACTGTACAATCAACTATCATCCAGGGAAGGCCAATGTAGTTGTAGATGCGCTTAGTCGGAAAGGAGAAGGCCAGTTGTATTATATGATCACTCAACAGAATCAACTGGTAAGAGATTTCACAAAGATGCAGATAGAAGTGGTGAAAGCTTGCAGTGAAGCGAAAGGAAGTATTAGTATGATGAGGATGCAATCTATGTTGAGAGATAGAATTCGGCAGGAGCAGCCCAGTGATAGGTTTGTCCGTTCGCTGGAGGTGAAAGTTCAAACTAATGGAATTGAAGGTTTTCACAGAGGAACGGATGGAGCAATAGAGTATAAAGGAAGAATTGTAGTGCCGAAAGTAGAATCCTTGAGAAAGGAGATTTTGAGAGAGGCACATAGTGCACCATATTTGGCTCACCCAGGTAGCACCAAAATGTATCACGACTTGAAAAAGTTGTTTTTGTGGAGGGGTATAAAGAGGAGTATAGCAGATTTTGTGGATAAATGCTTAGTTTGTCAACAAGTCAAAGCTGAGTATAAACGTCCACCAGGTTTGCTACAACCATTGGATATTCCCGAGTGGAAGTGGGAATATATTACCATGGATTTTGTCACGGGATTACCTAGATCGAAAGAGAATCATGATGCAGTTTGGGTAGTTGTGGATCAATTGACAAAAACGTCCAGGTTTTTGCCAGTAAGGATGACAATGACTATGGAGCAGTTCGCAAGAATTTATATAAATGGAGTAGTGAAATTCCATGGAGTGCCAATTGCGATAATATCAGATCGAGATCCTAGATTTACTTCTAGGTTTTGGGAGAGTCTAAATGAAGCCATGGGTACAAGTTTGAAGTTCAGTTCAGCTTACCATCCACAGACAGATGGACAGTCTGAAAGAACGATTCAAACTCTTGAAGATATGTTAAGAGCTTGTGTTTTAGATCGTGGTATTACATGGGAAGAACTATTACCATTGGTGGAGTTTTCCTATAATAACAGTTATCAGGCAAGTATCAAGATGGCACCTTATGAGGCTTTGTATGGGAGAAAGTGTAGATCGCCACTTTACTGGGATGAAGTGGGCGAAAGAAGAATACTCGGTCCAAAGATGATCGAGGAAACAATTGAGGAAGTAGCTGGAATTCGTGAGAAGATTAAGGTAGCTCAAGACCGGCAGAAGTCTTATGCTGACAAAAGTAGAAGATTTACAGTTTCAGAAGGGAGATAAAGTATTCTTGAAAGTCAAACCAATGAAAGGAGTGGTTCGATTTGGGAAGAAAGGGAAGCTACAACCCAGGTTTATAGGCCCATTCGAGATACTCGAAAGAATTGGTGAAGTAGCTTACCGCTTGGCGTTACCTCCAGACTTCTCGGGTGTGCATGATGTACTTCATGTATCGATGTTGAAGAAGTACGTACATGACCCGGAACATATAGTGAAATATGATGAGTTACAAGTTGAGAAGAACCTTACTTATAAAGAGCAACCAATAGCAGTGCTGGATCAAAAGATTCATCGGTTGAGAAACAGAGATGTTGCACTTATCAAAGTACAGTGGAGCCGTCATAGTGAGGCGGAAGCCACTTAGGAAAGAGAGGAAGAGAAAAGAGCCAAGTACCCAAATTTTCAGTTCTAAATTCTCGATGAGGTAATTCTAAGATTCAATTATGTTTTGTCTTATTTCCGAGGACGGAAATATTTTTAAGGGGGATAGATTGTCATATCCCATATAATTATATACAATAAGTTATTAAGTCGGTAAGTAATCAACAATAGTTTTTAAAGAATAAGTTATTTAAGATAAGTTCAAGTTCAAGTAACGGTAAGTTTTATTTAGCTACATGGTTGTAAGCTTGGAAATTCATAGTTTGAATGAGAGAAAAAAAATAATAATAATAATAATAATAATAATAATAATAAATTATACATTAGTGTAGAGAAAGCCGTAGCAATATAATGTCATCATTTAATTATTGCTCACATTATTAAGTGTTGAAATCAAATGATGCTCAAGCATTTTAAGCACATGAATTATGAGTTGTTAGTACATTATAATAGATGATTTTTCAGCTTTATAATATTCAGATTTTTGAACAAGAAGAATAGAAAAAGCCGGAAAATATTTTAGAACATCATTATGACTCATGCACATGCTTAAGTAAATTTCTTACAAGTTTCTTTTCAATTTTTTTTA